CCTGTGTCCAACCCCACTCTGTGACATCCACCACCAGCACACCACTGCTACTGCCGCACCCTTAACCATCTGTGGCTCCCACGTGCCCACAAGAGCCATTTGGAGACCAGAAGCTAGGACGGTAGAGCCAGGACACCAGGCCACACCCTGCCTCAGCCATCTGCTGGGCTGGGCTGCTGGCGCCATCTGCAAAGGGAGCAGCACTGGGTTCTTGGCCACGATGCCACTCTTCTGCCTTCTGTGAGGCCACTGCACAGGCTCCCCAGACTCTGTACCAGGGTCACCCAGCCGCCCACCCACTTTGGGGCCACTCTAGCACCTCCCATGCAGGATGCGGCCAGGGAAGCCACTGCCCTGTGTCCCATGTCTGGGGGCAGTGCCAGGGCGAGGCCCCAGCGTGTAGCTCTGAGCTTCCCTTCCGCAGCAGCTCCAGGCGGGCTCTGGGCAGCCAAGGCTCTGTCAGAGCAGAGGTGCCTTTGCAGGTTTCCCCTGAGTGGGGCCCGCCCGCTCCAGCCCTGTTCCCTGCTGCCTCCCGTTCACCAGGCACCATGCGCCCCCTTCCCTCTCCCCGGGCCCTCAGAAGTCCACACCTCTGGCACCCACTTTTCCCTGCAGGAGGCGGAGGTCCTGACACAGCCTGGCCTGAGCTTTTCCTCTAAGTCCCAGGGCTCTTGGTGCCCTAGCCCCGTGCATCCTGTGGTGCTGCCCTGCGGGTCACCTCGTCACACCGGCATGTCAAGCCTCACACCTCACTGGGGTTTTCCTCAGAGGCAGGAAGGCTGAGGCAGGCGGCTTTGCCCCCACCCCCTGTGCCACCCACGTCTCAGCTGAGCTCTGAGTCCCCTCCCGACTGCTTACCCAGGGCCCCTCTCAGCACTCCACAGCCAGAAATCATTCACTCATCGCTTAGCTTTGTTTTCCTAGAACCTTCTAGAGAGCAGGGCTGAGTCCCAGGAGGAGGCCGGGTCCTCTGCAGAAGGGTGGAGGTACCTGTGATGTGGAGGTGTCCTGGCTCCCAGGCTTCCAGCTCTATCCCCCTACCATGCACCTCCCCTGGTGGCCATCTCCGGCCAGGCGACAGATGGGGGAGTGTCCCCCGCCCCGGCTCAGGCCCTGAGGGAGATGTCACAGTGTCAGACCCCGGCCTGCTCGGTCTCACCCCACCAGGCCTCAGGGAGGTGAGAGGGACCCAACAGCACCTTGTGGTGTCTGTGGCCCAAATCTATCCATGGCTCAGACACTCAAGAACCCTCTCCAGCGGAATTTCACCCATTCCGCAGATCCAGGTCCCCACCTCGCCGGCCTGATCACAATGGTGAGACGGTGGGATCAGAAAACCCTGGGACACAGAGGAGGTCCCCTCCCACCCACTGCCTCCCCCACTCAGGCAGCCTGAAGCTTCCTCACGGGATGATTCAGTCAGGTTTGGATCCAGGCCACAGGGAACATGGTTTGGCCTTGGAAGCTTGGTGACAGGAAATGCTATGTGGCCTTGTCTGAGCTTTGTAGGCCGCAGCCTTTGGCGGGCAGGCCGCTTCCCTGGGGCACTGTGGCCGAGGAGCCTTCGGGGGAGGTGGAGGCCAGGACGGGCCCTCACTCCCCCGCCGGCTAGCCCGCCTGGCTCTGAGACTGAGCTCCTCTGGCTGCCGGCACTGGGTGGACACTGTTTGTATAAATTAAATTCCGTTTTGGCTGTGTGTGTCCCTGCCTCAGCTAAAAGCTGGCTCGAGGCCAGGAGTGACAAGATGTGACCATCCAGTGCTGGGTGGGGAGTGCAGTGACCTCTGGCAGTGCACCCGCCATATCTTCAGTGCCGGGGGTTGCACCTCAGGACTTGGGGAGGGGCAGAGGGCCTCTTCTCCAGGAAGCAACACAGCCGGACAAAGGGCCTGACCTCCAGCTTTGCCTGAGGCTGATCTGGGGGTTGTTTCTGTGGGCTGCAAGGAGCAGAGGACCTGATGGCTGTCTGGGGTCTGGAGGTGGTAGCCCACTTCCAGCTCAGCACCTGCCACCACAGAAGATATTGGGAGTTGGGTAAGCAGCACAGGATGCTGGGAAGTGGCCAAGCATCAGAGGATGCTGGGAGGTGGCCAAGCAGCAGAGGATGCTGGGAAGTGGCCAAGCAGTAGAGGATACTGAGAGGTAGCCAAGCAGCAGAGGATGCTGGGATTTGGCCAAGCAGCAGAGGGTACTGGGAGGTGGCTGACACCCAATATCAGATGACCAATAGAAGAGCATCCATGCACCACCAGACCCTCCCTGTGAGGCCACATGTGCTGAGCTAGCAACACTCCCACTGACTCACAGCCTGGCCCCAGCTGGCAGCCCTGAGCTCTCTCTCTCTCTCTCTGGGGAGGGTTTGCACAAAGATCTGTCCAGCTCATGGGCCATTGCAGGAAATCCTGGAGACCAGCATACAATGCATTATATGAGGAGACCCTGGGCACAGGAGAGAGGGGATGTAGTCCCCGTGATTTCCAGAGGGGACCGCCATGAGCCTTGAGTGGTAGTGCCATGGGTGGGGGTAGAAAGGCCACACTGGTGAAGTTGACAGGCATTTAATGCCCACAAGGAAAGGCTTCCCAAACCCCACTTTTCCCCACTCACATGCCTTCTACGGCTTCCCCTGGCCTAAGGCATCAGGTCTTGATACCATAGCTTGGCTTTCAAGGTTCTCCCAGCACTGACCCTGGACACTGGTTCCGGACTGAGGCCTCTCTCCACAGCTCCACAGTCAGGCCGGCTGTCAGTGCTGTGACTCATTCCAGGGCCCCTCAGCTTCGCGGTGGCTGAGCCCTCTGAGATCCCAGACGCTGCCTCAGCTGGTCCCCCAGGGAGGCTACAGCAGCATGGTTGTGACAGAGCCACCTCAGTCCTGGGTGCCATCACCCAGGCTGTGTGGTTCTGGCACAGGGACAGACATCTGGGCCAGTGGAGAGAAGCCAAGAGTCCAGAGTCAGCCCTCACAGTTCCGGGCAAAGGTACCAGGGTCACCGGTGGGGACAGCGTGGCCTTGTCCAGTCAGGGCCAGGGCCGCTAGATGTCCACACGCCTAAATGTGCAGCTAAAGCTGTCAGGCCCTTAGAATAAGACACAGAGGGAAAATCTTCATGTGCTTGGACGAGGACATTTTATTCTTAGAAATGGCACTAGCAACAGAAGAATAGGAAATAATTAAATTTCATCAAATCAAAACTTTGATGCTTTGAAGGAGACTATCAAAGGTAAAGGCAACCATAGGATATAAGAAAATATTTTTCAGTCACGAGTCTGATGTGGGATCTATGTGTAGACACGTACAGAAGGCTGTGCTGGGCCTGGTGGCAAACAGGTAAGCCTAGACACTCAGGAGGCTGAGACAGGAGGATCACATGCTCATTGTCAACCTGGGCACGTCGGTGAGACCCTATCTCACAATAAAATGGAAAGGTTTAGGAATGTGGCTCAGTGGTAGAGCTCTTGCTTAGCGTCTGCAAGGCCCTGCTTTGATCCCCGGCGCCACCCCCCATATTCTCCACCCAGTGGGAAGGCAGATGATCAGCCTAGGAGGTCCTAACGGACATTTCTCAACGGGCGGGCTGCGGGGACCTCGCACACCGCTGACTGGGAGGCAGAGGGTCCTCAGAAGCCGGAAGTTATCTCTGACCCAGCAGTCCCTCTCCTAGGGAAACGCGTCTGCACCACAACCGCACAGAGGGTCACATCTGCGCTCTTCTCGGCGACACAGCGAGGGAAGACCGCAGATGTCCACCAAGGAGCAGCGCACGAGGGAAATGCGGTCCTTCCACCCGCTGCCCCAAACAGTGACGCTCTGGTTTGCGCTCCCACACACAACTCTGACTGTGGGGGACTCAGCGGCCACATTCTGCAGCGTCACAGCCACAAGATCGCTGACAAGGGACCCAGTGACTTCGAGGACAGAGGAGGATATCTCTTTTCAGGATGATGAGACTCTTCTGGAACTACAGTGGTAATAGCTGCATGGTTCCGTGAACATACTAAAGAACACTGAATGCAGTTTCTAGGGGAGAAATCGCGGTGAGGGAGGGGAGTTAAACCTCACAGCACAGTCAGCGAAATCGCCCAGGAGACGCACGGGCGCAGACCACGCCCCAGCCACTCTCAGGAGCGCCCCCTGGCGACACACGCGTTCTTCCGCTCGAGGTGCACAGAGCCGGACCCTCTCTGTCCACTGGGGCGGACGCTGAGGACCGCCCTTGCTCCCGGCTCCCGGCTCCCGGCTCCCGGCTCCCGGCTCGGCCCCGCCCTGTCCATCCCGGTCCTGCTGTCCCCACAGGTCTCC